GAAACAGGTGCATATTAAGTGCAATACTTATAACATCTCTGATGTCAAATGACCAAAATTTAGCCTTAGGGCACTAAAGCACATTTGCCCTTTTGAAGCACATAGTAGTACGGCACATTTTATTTCACTAAAAGTGATGTTAAACATGAATGTCTTGTTGACTATTTAAAGAGCCAGTCAAATGGCTAAAAAAAACTATTGTTTTTTGTTATAACTCTTTTTGTGTCTCCCTCTTCCATTCTCATCTTAGGATATTTCACTCAAAAATTTAGTTACCCACCCCAAACACATTTCTCTCCCTTCTGCCAGGGTGTAACAAATATTAACATTCTGTCACTAGAAAATAAACACTGAAGAGGAATTAGCATGTTAATGAACAAAGATTAAGGAAGGTAATACTAACAGAATAAAGGAAAATGTAGACCGTAAGCATCTGGTCATTTATCATGTACATGTATCATGTCAAGCATTATATATTAAATCTTCAAGAGGTAAGTACTTTTGTTTTAGTGTGTTTAACAATGTCAGTTTCGTGGGATGTAGTCTCTGTTCCTGGACTTTCTCTTACATTATGGTAACAGAAAAACAAAGACTGGAGCACGGTTTACAGAGAAATACAAAACACATACAAACATCATAATAAAATAGCCATTTATATCACTATTAGAGAAATATTTTAGAGAAAACATACTTTCACCAGTGGCCTCAAATGCCATCATCCACTTATGTTCTTTAACTATCAACTTTGTTTTTTTAAGAGATGGGATCTTGCTCTGTTGACAAAGCTGGAGTGCAGAGACATGATCATAGCTGCAACCCCGAACTCCCAGACTCAAGTGATCCTACATTCAAGTGATCCTCCCAAACAGCTGGGACTACAGACTTGGGCCACCATTCCCAGACATATTTTTTATTTTTGTAGAGATGGGGTTTTGCTATGTTGCCCAGGCTGCTCTCAAACTCCTGGGCTGAAGCAATCCTCCCATCTCAGCCCCCTGAGTTGCTAGGATTCCAGGCATGAGCCACTACACCCAGCAACTGTCAACTTGTAATACAAAAATACCTTCAAGCTGATAATCAAGAACATTTAGTGACTTTAAAAAGCTGACAGAGTATTTCCATGCTACACAAAACAGTTCTATACACAGCTTTATAGTTTTAAAGTTCTTTGCTGGCACTTGACTTTATAGTTAACACAATGACTACTGATATCAACGAAATTCTGTTTTTAGCTTATATATATTTTCAAAATCAGTATTACCTCACAAAACAGTAAAGAAATATCACTTCTGCTGAAGAATCCTCTAAGATGAACACCAAAACTGTGCAGCTAAAACATATTGAGAATCACATACATTTTTAAGGCAATAGATAAAAATTTATACAATCCAGTGAAATTTATACATGTCCAGCGAAAAAAGGATTATTCCTCTGATTAAATGAAGCATGTATCAGGTTTAGATCAACAATACAAATCTACAAAGCAAGTTACTTCTTTTTTAAAGTTTTTTGATGATTTGGTGGCACAACCAGAATATAATTTTTCAGATGAAAATTGGTCGCTTTGCAAATCTACATCCTAAATTCCAAAATTAAAACGAAACTTCTTTTCAAACAGCAGAATCCTGGTTTGTTGTTTTTACTGTCAATGAGCTTATAGCTATTCTCTGTATTATTATAAATGAAATCACCATTCAGTCACCCTAACACACATACACTTTTTTTTTGACACAGAGTCTTGCTCTGTCACCCAGGCTGGAGTGCAGTGGCCCAATCTCAGTTCTCTGTAGCCTCTGACTCCCGGGTTCCAGCAATTCTCCTGCCTTGGCCTCCTGGGTAGCTGGGATTACAGGTACACGCCACCAGGCCCAGCTAATTTTTGTATATTTAGTAGAGATGGGGTTTCACCATGTTGGCCAGGCTGGTCTTGAACTCCTGACCTCAGGTGATCCACCCGCCTCGGCCTCCCAAAGTGCTAGGATTACAGACGTGAGCCACCGCGCCCGGCCTGCATTTTTTTCTTCATAGAAGAAAACAAAAGTAAAATTTCCCAAATTATATTTAACTTATAACACATTTTGCAAAGACCCCTCCGGTTAACCATTTTGGAAATCTACCTTGTTCCGAAGAAAAAGATAAGCTTTCAAAACACTATCTAGCAATTCCTAATCATTTTTCTATTATAAATATTAAAATTCAAAAGTTACTGCCACAGTGCTTGTGGCAGTAAACAGAATGTAAAATTTATCAAAAGACTAAATTAGTGTCATGAAACATAAACATACTAAATAATCAAATAAATACTGGACCCTTAGCACAGAAAATTATTAAAAGGTTGATCTGAGTGTTAAAATTTGTAATATTAAATTACCTTCGTATTTCAAATATTACTTTTTCTAAACCAAACCAGCAGCTAATCAACTTTTCCTTTCCTTTAGGAACAAAAAGGATATTTAAGATATTTTCCAAAACAGTAAAAACAACTTAGTGTTTCAATTCAGTTACAACAAACCCTGCTGATCCTGTGCATTTCACTGAGGCGCTACACGCACCCAAAAATCATCATCAGAAAGAGAACTTGAACTTCCTGACTCAGAGTCTGGCTCACTGAATCCACCTAAGTCCCATTCGGTGCTAGACTCACTTGGTATTTCTTCTTCTTCAGTGAGAAAACTCTGACCAGGTTCAAGGCAGGAAGGATAAACACGAGCAGAGAGGCAAAAAAAGTTAGAATCAAACTGCAAGAGGCCTAATGTGGTACCTATATTAATCCATTGGTCTCCCCTAATATCATATTCATACACAGTCACCCGGTTCTTTTTCCATTGTGGGGTGCGAGAGGTGATGAGCAACAATTTTTGGCCATGCTTGATAATCCGGTAGTTGTTGGTCTCTGAGACCAAGGGTATATTATTCATTTGCCTCCATTCTGCCCTAACTGGGTTGTAGACCTTCATGACTGGGATGTCACAGATACAATAGATCTCCTCATTGAAGACGCACGCTTCCTGAAAGTCATTGCGCTTCAGAGAAACGCACTTCAACCACATATTATGGCTAGGATCATAACAGAACATGCGCTTACTGTTGAGAGCATAGAGATAGTCCCGAATTACCATTAGGTCAAAGGATAAAAAAGAATGGGGCAGTGGAGCCACCAATGCCCACTGGTTTCTCTTAACATTGTAGCATTCCACTTCCTTCAATTTAACTCCAGTAATAGGGTCTCGCCCCCCCAAAATGTAGATGTAGCCATTGAGATATGCCACATCCATGCCCTCACGACACAGCAAGCGATCTGCAAGTTGCTGCCAACTGTTCTGAGCTGGTTTATACACCCAGAGGTCTGTCCTGGGCTGGGCAGCTAGATAGATGTCGTGGTCAGGAGAGATACAGACAGCTAAGGTGGTGACAGTCCTAGTGTGAGCCAGACAGGTCAAAGGTGACGGCACTTTGTAAAGGTCCCCCGAGTATGGATCACAGCAGAGAAAGGGATCTCTGGGGTGTCCAAAGAAGATCACCATCTCCTTGGCACACATACCCAGTCTCTGGGGTGGATTTTCTGCTGCAGATACAAGAGAGTTGCTGCTGCTGCTGCTGCTGCTGCTGTTTGGCACTGGCACCAGAGACTTGTACAACAGGTCACCATAGCGCATCTGCAAGGCCCCTTCAATAACGTCCAGGCAGTACTTCTTCACGATGGGCTTGGTCAGCAGCCCTTCTAAGTAGTCCTGATCTTCTTCAGTGAAGTGCATCCAGCGCACGCACTTGAAGACTTCTGCAGCACTGGGACCCCGCTCCTTGGGAGCAGCCTCCAGCCACTGCACTGCCACGTGGCACACTGTCTGCTCACTCTCCACGTCCAGACTATCCAAGCGCAGGACAGCCAGCAGCTGGGCCAGGGTCAGATCTGCTAGAGTCTCCTCCCGAATTGAACCCATGTGGCTGAGCTGCTTGAAGTTCTGAGCTATATAGGACTGGGCCTGGGATCGCAGCTTGCGATGGCCAAAGGCGTCTGCAAACTTGAGGATGGCGGTGCAGTTGGTCAGGTCAAGACGTCGGGCTAAGAAGGAGGCACAGGCTTCCCGCACATACTCCAGTTGCAGCATGTCGGAGGCCGCGTACAGGCGCTCCACGTTGGCCTCACTGAGAGACACACGACCCGTGTAGCAGTAGTCGACCAACACCTCGAAGGACTCGGCGTCCACATCGTGCATGGTCACGCTGGTCTGCTGGCTCTCGTACATGCCACCTGTGAACATGCTCTTGAAGTAGGGACACGCGGCGGCCAGCACATTGCGGTTGCAGGGGAAGAGGCGACCCGTGCCAGGCCCACTGCCAGGCGTCACCACCTCGATGGTCACATCACACAGCTGCCGCGCATCGTAGAAGGACTTGAGCTGTGCCAGCAGGGCTGCTGAATGGGCCGTGTCCTTTAATTCCTCTGGACCCGTGAAAAAGGCCGAAACTGTGGGTTTGTGAATCTTCTTGGGCCGCTTCCCACCACGGGGACTGGCGAGGCGGCGAGAGCGCGGGGCGTCTTCCCGGGACTGCATGGTGGAGATGGCGACGGGCACTGATGGCGAGAAAGGCTGCAGGACCCGGCTCTGGCTCCTCCTCAACCTTTCCTCGCTGACGCTAAGATAGCAGCGTCTCCCAAGAGACCGCAGCACGAGCCCATTTACTGAATTCAGCCCTACCCTGCGGAGCCGCCTCCCTTTATCGTTTAGACAGTAGCTGACTCACCCTCTCTCACTCCCGCGTCCTTTCTCCGCGTCTGCTCGCCTTCACAGGACCCGCTGGCTTGGAGCCGTAGACGCCGCTACTGCCGCGTGGGCGACAATACTAGGCGCCCAAGAGAACTACCGCTCCCAGGTTGCCTTTCGCGCCCCGAGGGCTGCTGGGGCTCTCGGACTCCCAGGCCGATACCAAGGGAAAGAATCCGCTTTGCATGTTGGGAGTAGTACTTTGTGTAATATCGCGATCCTTCTCTGGTGTTCCTTGTTTTTTAACTGACGACACTCGAGAGCGCCAGTTTTCCTAGATTCGATTTTGTGGTTTGGAACTTTGGTTTTGGAATCCACAGTAGTCGCCTCGTTCTAGTATGTATTATTCGACTTGTCTCTCTGAATTGTTTCTTCTTTTGTAAAATGTGAACAGTAGTATTTCATAGGATTGTGTGAAGATTAAATGAGTTGGTTATAGGACGCTGTTAATATGTGTTGGTTTGTAGAATAATTACTCAGTTCTTAGAATATAAAGGTTCGACAAGTTTTCTTCCAGCCTTTATATATATAGAAAAAAAGGAAGCATCACTAATTTGAAATTATGAGCCTGTAGGAAAACAAAAAACAACCCCCGAAAACAGAAAACCTTGCAAATTGCAGCAGAAATCCCTTTTTAGAGGTGTGTGTGTGTGTGTGTGTGTGTGTAAATTAGATTTTATTTTTAGGTTTACAGACCAATTGAGCAGCAGGGACAGGGAACTTCCATATATCTCTCCCCACTTCACAGTTCCCTTATTATTATTAACACCTTGTATTAGTGTAGGCATCCAGTAGAAGTGAATTTTTTTTTTTTTTTTAACTCACTATGCCTCTCCCTGATACCAAAAATTAACTCAGGGTTTGTAGGATTGGTTGGAATTAGATCCCTGGTTTTTTCACAATTGCCTGTCCTTACTTGCCATGACTAAAAGGAAACCACCTCCAATCACCTTACTTTGAGACTTTCCTTCCATATCTGCATTTCAAAATCCGAAGTCCTCTCTAGCCACTTTTCCCACTTGGTCTCTCCAATATTCAGTACCCCTTTCCCTTTTTTACACAAAAGAAGAGACATGCTTTAGGGGGTCCTCACCCCAAAACACAAGGGAAGCCAGAGGCCTGGTTGGTAATTTAGCATCCTTTTAGACCCAGCGGCTCAAGCATTTCTCCCCTTGCTTGTATGAAGTTGCTGCTTCATCGGAACTGACTCTATTTTTAGTCATTCACTCAACCTTTACTTACCCCATGTAGTTCAGACATTAGAAGTCACTGAGAACACCACACACGTTTCCACTTCGAACTCACCTCCTGTGAAACCCTGCCACTGTCTTCCTCTCACATCACTGTCCACTGTAGTCAAAACAATCAGGCCTCTCTTCTTCCCATTCCCTCTGAAGGACAACCTTGTGACTGTATCACCGTCACACAGTCATTCACATTTCCTCACTCTGACATCACCAGAACTCCTCTCAGAGACCTTGATATCACCTTCTTTGTGGATGGTTCTTACTTCAGGAGTACAAATGGGGAATTTTAAGGAGGATACACTATTGCAGATTTTCAGCAGCCTATTCAGTTGAAATCTCCACCTAAGTTAACGTGGCCCAAATCATTGAATTCTTAAGCACTCACCCAAACTTGCATGTTAGCACAAGATAAGGGAACTAACATTTATACAGACAGCCAGTTTACTTTTGGAATTGTACGTAATTTTGGTATGCTATGGAAAGAAAGAGGTTTATGACAACTGAGGAGTACCGATCAGAACCCAACTCACTAACCTATTTACATCTTTTTTTTTTTTTTTTTTTTTTTTTGAGATGGAGTCTCGCTCTTGTTGCCCAGGCTGGAGTGCAGTGGCTCGATCTTGGCTCACTGCAACCTCTGCCTCCCGGATTCAAGCAATTCTCCTGCCTCAGCCTCCTGAGTAACTGGGATTACAGGTGCCCACCAACATGCCCGGCTAATTTTTTTTTTTTTTTGTACTTCTGGTTGAGATGGGGTTTCGCCATGTTGGCCAGGCTGGTCTCAAACTCCTGACTTCAGGTAATCCACCCGCCTCGGCCTCCCAAAGTGCTGGGATTACAAGCGTGAGCCACCGCACCCGGCCCTCCTATGTAAGTCTTTACAGCTATCCAGAAATTAGCTGTTCTCAAAAATCAAAGCTCACACTAGTGGCTAGACTAATAAAGCTAAAGGAAACTTAACTGGCTGAAAATATGCTAAGGTTTCTGCTTCCCAAGAAGACATCCCCTGAATCACATGTATACTTCTCCTTGCTCAACCTACTCTAAAGATAGAAACTCTTAAGAAACTTAAGATATAACAGCTGCTAGCACCTGAGGCTGAAAAAGCAAAAAAGCAACAAGCTGGATGTTTTATCTACTCAGATGGGCTTTGGAGACACCTAGACAACTGTTTGATTTCTCTTGGTCCCTCACCCAAAACTTACTCTGCAGCCTCCATGAGGCTACACATTATGGCAAAGAAAATCTTAAGGATCTCCACAAATATTGTTCGAGATGCCCTAATACTGAGCCGTTAACTTCAACTTGCCCCGTCTGCCAGAAACACAATCCTAGTCAACATGTAAAGTGGGACAAGGATGAGAGTCAACTCTCTCTAGTCCTTGTTTTCATTGGAAAATATATAAACTCGCAAAGTCTCATGGGTACAAAAATGTCCTAACCATAGTTGGTATGTTTTCAGCATGGTTAAAAGCTTTTCTCTGTAAACAAGCTACCATCACCACTGAAGTTAAGCTGAGACCAGAAAGAATTTTCCCCTCTTAGGGATCTCTTTTTTTTTTTTTTTTAATAACAGTGGAGGAAGGTTATTCAGGATCTTCAACAAGTACTTCCAATGTTACAAAAACTGCAGTCTTCTTACCAGTCCTCTGGAAAAATGAAACAAGCAGGCCAATGGTACTCTTATATTCAAACTAGCCAAACTCCTTAAGGAACTCAACCTGCCCAGAGTCTCATGCCTTATGGCCCTTGACTCTTCTATTATCCCCAATTTCTCAGCATGTACTAAATGAAACTTAATTCCAAACATGATTAATGAGTCTCTTGAAATCTCCAAACTAAATGACTCCACTTTCTCAGGATCAAGTGTAGGAAAAAATGTGGGAGTACTTTTATCTCTAATATTAACCATTTTCTGTTCCACCACTTCCCAGCTAGCCTTACAAACTGCATTCAGTTCCACACAAAGACTCTGCTCTCCTGAGGGATCCACCCAGTTGTTAATCCCAGTAATTGTTAATAATTACTATACCTCAGACCCCACCTGTTTCCCCATAGGATACTACTTTTCATGCCTTCCCCAAGGGCATTTGGACTGATTGTCTGGGACTTCAAAATATTTAAAGCAGCTATCCCACCTGTCAACGGTGTGTCCCTCTGGAATTACCTCCAAATTGAGGCAACTACAGGGAATTGGGGAAAACCTCCTAGGGATAGCAATGATTCTCTTTTCATGTGCACCATGAGAGCCCCTAACACCCACTATGGCATTAATACAGTTAAAAAGGGTAGTTCAAAAAAAAAAAAAAAAAAAAGGTAGTTCAAGCCTCTCCTTAACCTTTGTAGAAGAAGAAAATTTTACCACTTTGGCCCTAGAAGCACAGAAAGTAAGTTTAAACGCACAGGCCCAAGTTGTTAGGCCAATCCTACTACTTTCAACTTCCTTCTAACTAGACAGGGAGGTATTGGTGCCATAGCCAAAATCTCTTGTTGCAGTTGAATAAACACAACAGGACAAGTGAATGCTTAGTTACTAAACTCAAGGAAAAGGCTAGTTGGCTTTCTAAGGTAGATTCAAATAGCCTGAGACATGTTCTACTGAGCAAGATTTAGAAATAGAAGATCCTGGTTTTGAGCTGTATTACAAACATTACTAATTGACATAGTTTGGATATTTGTCCTCGCCCAAATCTCATGTCGAAGTGTGATCCTGAGTGTTGGAGGTGGGGCCTGGTGGGAGGTGTTTGGATCATGGGGGTGGATCCCTCATGAATGACTTGTGCTGTCTGTCCCCGTAGTGTTGTGAGCTCTCGCTTTGAATCCCCATAAGATCTGATTGTTTAAAAATATGTGGTACCTCCCCCACCCATTCTGTCTCTCTCTCTCTCTCTCTCTCCCTCTCTCTCTTGCTTCCGCTTTCACCACGTAACATGCCTGCTTCCCCTTCGTCTTCCACCACGATTGTAAGCTTCCTGAGGCTTCCCTAGACTGAGCAGGTACCAGTACCATGCTTCCTGTAAAGCCTGAAGAACCATGAGCCAATTAAACCTCTTTTCTTTATATATTACCCAGTCTTCGGTATTTCTTTATAGCAATGAAAGAATGGCCTAATACACTAATAATTTTCCTGTTTGTAGTCTTATACCTTGCAGTTGGGCAGTACATCATGCCTAGTCTTAAATGCTACTACACAGTCGTTTGTCCTCACAAATTATTATTCAACAATGTATCATGATCTGGTAGACGAAAGGGTAACTCTGCTTCCAACTGACTTCCCAGACAGAATTTCAATCTGAACTGACAATTTTACCCATGGAGATCAAGATCTTGGAGTTAAGAAATTCCACAACGTTTTGTTTTCCTAAATCTCCTTACTCTTTTGTGCTCTGGGAAGTGGCTTACACAATGAACCATCCTTCCCATATGACGTAGATTACTTTCTGTCTACTTTTTCTCATGCCTACTGTAAGACTCACTCACTGATGACCTCCCTACCTTGTTTACCTGTGAAAAGGCCAAACACAGCCTTTTCATTTTTGCCTGAACCTGCTGGCAAGACCAGACAAGAGTCTCCCACTTCCTGTCATTTATCTTGTGAATCATTAGCTGAAATTAGAGCTATTAGTCTACCACATGCCCCCCTCAATCCCAAACTAGCAAGACAGAGAGATAAACATTTTCTGTGCAGATGACTGAGATGTCCCTGTTTACAAAAACAATCCCAACTAAAAATCATTCCATTTAAAACAAGCCTACTCCTCCCTATAAACTATAAGGTAAAAGCATCTTGCCAAGCACCCTAATCTTTGGATGTGGGGTGCTCTCCCTATTGTAATAGCCTGAATAAAATCAATGTATTTCCTTGTTTGGTTGATAATGCCTACCTTATATTATATGCAAAAATTAATTCAAGGTAAATATCAGTACTGTGATGGTATTATGTGTATATGTGTTTTCATCCATGGTCCTGGTTCATAACTTCCATAGCCCCTGTTACAGATTTTGTTATAATCTTGAGTGTGTTAGGCCTTAGGGGCAGGCCTCAGGAAACAGAACCTGTCTGACTTTCTCTTACTCTCCTTTCACCTG